ACATATCCTGGTAAAAAAACGACTCAGAGGTTCCTCACAGCAGGACTGGAGGCCAGAGCGATGTCATCTAGAATAGCATATTTCTAAGGTTTTCAGGCCCAAGTACAATAGCCCAGGAAAGTTTATGTGTTAAATCACCAGTGACTGTATGTATCAAATCTGCTGTGCCCATGACAACCATTAAAAGTAGAGCGCTGTTGGACATGTAATGACACAGCGTGAGAATTTTGTCACACCAGGCAACAAAGAAAATCCATAAATCAATTTGCCTCATAGGACAACTACTGTAAGAGTATTTCATATTTCACTGTGAGAAACAGGCTGCATAACACATCCTCAGTCAATCAGCTTTTTTTCCAGAGTTTGGAAAAATGCTCTACTTTTGTCCCTGATATTAGCTCAGCTGTCTGTGTTGAGGCTGCTGTTCTGTACATACAGTGTCTGAAATTCAATGAGTTTTAATAGAAACGTCACTCCCGAATATCTCTCTGATCAATTTATCAAGCTCAACTCTGGTAGGAGCTGCAGGAAGCCTTTGATTACAATGAACAGAGTATATAATTTATTCAACAGCCAACTGGTTTGCTCAGTTCTTATTACTTTGAGTAGTCATATTGTCATTCCTGTTGTTATGGTTCCTGTGTGCATGCATCATTTAATAATTAAATGAAATAGCAGACTGATTTTCAACCTTTGTGAAAAACATTTTTTTTTAAATGTTCTGCTTTGCCAGTATTATCATGTTAATACAAACAGCAATAGCTGAACATTTTGGTAATGTGCTGTAGAGGTTGCCACTTCCCCTCCTTGAACCGCCACTTTATCATGGTGGAGGGGTTTGAGTACCCGAATTATCCTATGTTGGCAGGGGCTATATGCCCCTGGTAGGGTCTGCCAAGGAAAACAGGTCCTAGGTGACTGGTCAGACTAAGAGTGGTTCAAGAACCCCTTATGAAAAAATTAAAATCAAGGACCGTGATGTTGCCCAGTATGGTGCAACTGGGGCCCCACCCTCAAGCCAGGCCTGGGCTTGGGGCTCGAATGCGAGCGCCTGGTGGCTAGGCCTCCTCCTATGGGGCCCGGCCGGGCTTAGCCTGAATGAGTGACGTGGGGACGTCCTCCCATGGGCTCGTCCTCCCATGGGCCCATCACCTGCAGGAGGATTTGTAAGGGGCTGGTGCAAAGTGGATCAGCCCCCCCAACGACCCATCTCTGGACATGGAGACTAGCCCTGGGGACATGGAATGTCACCTCACTGGTGGGGAAGGAGCCCGAGCTTGTGCGGGAGGTTGAGAGGTACCGGCTAGAGACAGTCGGCTCACCTACACGCACAGCTTGGGCTCTGGGACCATACTCCTCGAGAGAGGCTGGACTCTCTACTACTCTGGAGTTGCCCATGGTGAAAGGCGATGGGTTGGTGTGGTCTTGCTTATAGCCTCCCAGCTCTTAGCCGCCATGTCTTGGAGTTTACCCCGGTGAACAAGAGGGTAGTTGCCCTGCACCTTCGGGTCAGGGATAGGTCTCTCACTGTCATTTGTGCCTAAGGGCTGAATGGCAGTGCAGAGTACCCGGCCTTCTTGGAGTCTCTGGGAGGGGTGCTGGAAAATGCTCAGACTGGGGACTCCGTCGATCTACTGGGGGACTTCAACACTCACGTGGGCAACGTCAGTGACACCTGGAGGGGCGTGATTGGGATCTGATCTGAAACCAAGTGGTGTTCTGTTATTGGACTTCTGTGCTAGTCACAGTTTGTCTATAACAAACACCATGTTCAAGCATAAGGGTGTCCATCAGTGCACGTGGCACCAGGTCACCCTCGATGATTGACTTTGTGGTTGTTTCATCTGAGCTCCAGCCATATGTCTTGGACACTTGGGTGAAGAGAGGGGTGGAGCTGTCAACCGTTCACCACCTGATGGTGAGCTGGATCCGATGGTGGGGGAGAAAGCTGGACAGACTCTGCAGACACAAACATATTGTGAAGGGTCTGTTGGGAATGTTTGGCAGAACCCCCTGTCTGGGAGATCTTTAACTCCCGCCTCCGGTAGAGCTTTGACCAGATGCCGGGGGAGGTTGGAGACATTGATTCCGAATCTACCATGTTCTCCACCTCCAATGCTGATGCGGCCGCTCAGAGCTGTGGCCATTAGGTCTCTGGTGCCTTTCGCGGTGGCAATCCCCGAACTCGGTAGTGGACACCGGAAGTAAGGGATGCCGACAAGCTGAAGAAGGAGACCTTTAGATCCTGGCTGGCTCATGGGACTCCTGACGGCTACCGGCAGGCCAGGTGGACTGCAGTGATTGTGGAGTCTGACACACCTCTGCAATAGCGCGTGGTGGTTGGGGACAGTGCCTCTGGACTGGCAGACCGGGGTGGTGGTCCCTCTTTTTCACACTCCTCAGCCTCCTTGGGAAAGTCTATGCCAGGGTACTGGAGAGGAGAATTCGACCGATAGTCAAACCTCGGATTCAGGAGGAACAATGCGGCTTTTGTCCTGGCCGCAGAATACTGGACCAGCTCTATACCCTCTTCAGGGTGGCGGAGGGTTCATGGGATTTTGCCCAACCAGTCCACATGTGTTTTGTGGATTTAGAGAAGGCATTCGACCGTGTCCCTCATGGCACCCTGTGGGGGCTGCTCCAGGAGTATGGGGTCCGGGGCCCTTTGCTAAGGGCAGTCCGGTCCCTGTACGACCGGAGCAGGAGCTTGGTTCGCATTGCCAGCAGTAAGTCAGACTTGTTTCCGGTGCATGTTGGACTCCAGCAGGGCTGCCTTTTGTCACCAGTTCTGTTCATCATTTTTATAGACAGAATTTCTAGGTGCAGCCAGGGGCTGGAGGGAGTCCAGTTTTAATTTTCATTTCATTTTTTTAAAGAATTAATATACAAAGCAAGCTTATGTGCAGCTACTTTTCATATCAACACCACATAAAGCAGATTACTTCTTTTTTTTTTTTTTTTTTGGCAGTGACAGCAAAGGCCGCTAAAAATACTGTGGCCAGTGTGCGTAAACAAGCAAATATGAACATTGCAAATTTACAAAATTAGACAGGTACCATTAAAATGTGAACAACCCATTTACAAGACGGTAGGCTAACTGAATTTAACTCAGCTGACCTGCTGTAACCTGCTGCAGAGGTGATTGTATCTAGGTTTCTCATGGCCCATAAAATTTTGATATGAAAGCTGAATTTGTGCTCTGCTGCCGCACTGGAGACTGGACTTGGTAGCTTCACTTTAACCAAAGTTTTGAGTCACGAGTCCTTAAAATCTGGACTTGAGTTGCTCTCGAGAATGAGTCCTGGACTCGAGTACTACAACACTGGCTAAGCAGCATATTCTCTTGTTCATTTATTAGTAAAATTAGGTGTAACTTCTGGTGGTGGTTGTTTCAAAGTCATTTTTTAACTTGTAGTGATGACATTTCCACTATCCTTTCAGCTGAGTGGGAAATATCATAGCGATCAGAAACTCAGAGAAATTGGCAAAAGTCTAAGGTTGACACGAACAGTTTTCCCACTTGGCTGCTCATTAATATGGTTTAAAATTTATAATGTAAAAGTAGCATAATTGCCTCAGTATGGAATTTCTTAATTCTAACGCTTTAATTCTATTTCTTCCATTTTAGAACTTATGTATATAGTACAGATTTGCTGTTATGGTAGCCCCCCTCACCAGGAGGGTGAGGGAGGACTGAGGTTGGACTCAAGTTTGCAGACCCAGGTGCTAAGGGGAAAAACATGACGGTATCAGGTAAGTAAAGTGAACACAAAAGTATCAAAAGAACATAACATGGGAAAGTACGGTACTTAGATATGTATGATATTTGGTATATTGGTGTTATTCAACTGTGTCGACTTGAGTAAGTTCCTTGTTTCTGTTTTGTGAACTGATGACCGAGGAATATCTTCTGTTATTTTTGAACTGACTGTTGGAGAGATCTTGCGTTTATTTTTGAACTCAATACCAAGGAGTATCTTCTGTTATTTTTTGAACTGACTAGTGGAGAGATCTTATGTTTATTTTTGAACTCATTACCACGGAGTATCTTCTGTTTATTTTTGGAACCCCACATGATAGAGAGAGCAGAGGAGAGAAAGAGGGAGAAGAGGCAGTGGCCGCCGAGCGGCCCTGACATTTGCAACAGAAATGTTTATTAAGAAACATACATTATGTGTATGTGTGTATGTGTTGCAAAAAGAAAATGTGTCACAATTGAAGCCGCTTTACGCCTCTGTTGATCATACTATATAGTGCCTATGACACATGTATTATAGATCAAATACCAGTGTATGCCTCAGCTGTGTTTCTTATTGATATTTAATACACTTGTTAGGAAACAACCACAAAACTGAATATTATATCTTCATTTTAAAAGAATATTGACATCTTTTTGAATAACAATCCATATGGCTCTCATATTATCTAGCATTTTAAAACACATTTTCAATAGCACTCTCATCTTGGTCCACAAGTAGCTTTGAAAGCACTCCTGTTACAACTGTGCTTAGCACCAGATGTGAAGAATAATGGATTCCAGTACTGTGGCTCCACTGCAGGCTAACTCTGGGCCCCAATGGGGGCCCACTCTGCCTAGTGTGGGCAGCCCACAATGAGCCCACACTTCAAGCTGGGTGTGGGCTGCCCCACTAGGGCCCCAAGTGCCCTGAACTTCACGTGCCCCACATTTCACATCGTGTCAAGGCCCACAGTGGACTGCCCACTAAGGCCCAATTTTTTTTTGCCCACATAGGCCCCAGATGTACCCCAAAGGGCCATGTTTGCTGGGTACATCTAATAGGTTGAAGTCAAGAAAAAGAAAAAAAGAGTTAAACATGAAACCTTTACCACACATTTTGACTATAGATTCAGCAGAACATCTGGTGGACCATGTCAGAAAACAAACAATGAATCTTTTAAAATACAATTTATTATGTAGAAACAAAAGACAATTTGTACAATATTCACATTAGAATGGTTTGTACAGACCTATGTTAATTTTCCATTTTTATTAATTAATTTCATTAATAGATTTTTTTTCCCACAAAAACATTCCCCCCAAAAAGTTTCATTGTTCTAGTGTTTCAGCAAACAGGTAAAAAAAAAAAACATGGCATGGTAATGTAAAGGAATATAATGCTGTGGTAAAAGGGATTTTAAAGATGACTTGTTGCTGAATTCAAACTCAACCTCTTTAAACAAATCCACCCACCCACACCCACTCACACATATGAGCAATGAAATGCAGTTTCAGTAAAATGATTAATTTAGGTTTAATTTTAATGGTATCTACAACAAGCTCCACAAAACAGCTGTACTTCACAGTGAAATTAGCTTCATTATATTTACACAAAGCGCAGACAAAATGCACAAAACAAAACCTAAAGAAAAAACTGTACAAAATATTAATCATGTTTTCATCCATTTTGTTAGTTGCCACTATGTGCTATACAGTTTTGGCCTCCTTTGCGAGGATTTAACTGCCACATGAATAATTTCTTATAAGTTTAGCTACTTCTAATTATCTTTAAAGGGTTGACAATCAACTCATTGAACTATGGTTGTTCCCTTTAATGTCTTTAATTAAGTCCATCAATATATGGTTTCATGTCTGCCCACAACCAGAGGCTCTTAGCAGTGAATCTCGTAGGCAACCTGTGATCCAAAGAGGAGACTCTGACTAAGAAAGAGTTCCTCTGGGTCAGCTGTTAGGGGGCCCTCTCCGCCATCTGCTGGGTTTCTGTGAAGCCCCATTCCTCCAGATCTGGTCAGTGTCTGCACCATTTCGTGGTCCAGGAGAGCCTCCTTCATTCCTTTCTGCTGGACAAAGCCACTCATCATTGGACACCTGGATGAAGTGGGACCTAAGACAGGTTTGGCTCGGTTGAGGACATACATCTCGTGGCCATGATCATCACGGTACTCTTCTAGCTGTGCAAAGATGGTGGGTCCATCAGAGTAGTCGTTCACATAGAGGATGCTTTCTTCTTTGCTGTTACAATAGGAGCCATTTTCTTCTTTCTGGTACTGCTGGTGACGAGTATAGATCATAATCAACAGGAGAACGGCAGTCAGTGCCAACAAGGAGATGCCAATGGCAATGGCAGTTTGCGTGGCAGGGCCCAGAGCACTGAAGTCCATGCTGTCTTGCTCATACAGTGGCTCCTGGTTCACATCCAGAACTTCTGGTCGATAGAGGGAGCTAGATGAAGAGGAAATAAAGGAATGTGTGTTCAAATGAGGCCAGAACTGGGATGAATATGAAGAAGAGGACATGTTGACAGCCAGGTGAAAGGTAACTCTGGCCACACCACCAGGGTTCCAGGCTTCGCACTCATAGCGCCCAGCATGTGCTACAGTCACATTGCTGAGGAAGAGCATGCCACTGCCCATGTCTGGATCAAAGCTGTCCCTTTCACCACCTTCCTCAGTCCCACGCACAAACCCGTGGATCCCACCAACACCTCCCACACTACGTCCTCCACTGCTGGGCAGGGCCGTCACCACTCCTCCAGCTCCAGGCCTGAACAGGTCACCATTGGGTCCCAGTTCTTGAACCAGGCCTCGAGGTGATAGCTGGGCCTTGCCATTGGAGGCTTTCTTCCAGGTCACCTGAGGCTGAGGGTATCCTGAGGCCTGGCAGGAGACTCGGAGGCTTTCTCCTAGTCGCACAGTCAGGTGGCTTGGCGCAAGTTGCACGACGGGGGGAATGCAGACAAGACTGTTGGGAGCCACCTCCACCAGACTGAGGTGGGAGAGGCGAGGTGGTTCAGAACACATCAGCCGACGCTGCTCAGCAGAGCTCAACAGACGTTGGCCATCTTTAGTGATCCAGGTTCTCAGCCAGCCCAGAGCACAATCACAGCGCCATGGATTCTCTAGATGAAAGGAAGTGAGGCACACAAGAGAAACAATGGGTAAACCAATTGCTTTGTCCTTGTTCCATTATTATCAATATGAAGTCCCTCTTTCATAGATTTTTTTCAGGTTATCCTTTAAAATTATGTCGCTGGGAGAGTTTTTCTCATTTAAGGTCAACAACTGAGTCAGACACTTTGAAATTTAAACCACATTTGCTGAATTTTCATTGACATGAGCCTGTTGCTTGTGGATATTTTAAAAGATTTTTGTTGCTCTGACATTCTCAGGTAGCGTCAGTTCTTCAGAATAGGTATGGAAGCATTAAATTCTTGGAGGATTATATCATATTACAGAAAGTAATAATACAATTCTGTCCTCGCTCTGCCTACCTGTGACACGGAGCACCTGCAGGCTGACAAGCGGTTTGAAGGACGAGGCTCCCAGAGTGCGAAGGTGATTTTTGCTGAGGTCCAACAGAGCCAGGGATGACAAGCCAGACAGGGCCTGCTCTGCCAGCACCTCTATACTGTTTTCCTGCAGGTGGAGCTCCTGAAGACGCTGCAGACAGCAAAAAGACATTAAGCAGTGGAATGACATGTGGAACGGTAGAGGAGGAGGAATACAAATGTCAAATGTAAAAAAAGATGACTCAGTTTCACCTGGCTCAGTCTGTATTGTATGTACTGTATGTATGGTATGTATTAGTCAGACATGTTGTCTTGAATTGGATTTACAGCTTAGACATCATTCTACTCCATATAATCCATAAAAAGGCATTTCATATTGGAATATGTTTGTTCCACTTTAGGTTCACAGTTTTTAGAATACTTAAACCAAAACGAGCATTCACAACTGCCATCCATTCCTTTATCTGAGCTCACATGCACCAACCTGCAGGCCCCTGAAGGTGTGGTCCTGGACACGAGTGATCTGGTTGCTGGCAAGGTACAGAATTCGAAGGTGCTCCAGACCCCGAAACATATCAGGGGTGACCAGGTGGATGAGGTTACCATTGAGGGCCAGCTCCAGTAGTTGCCCCTGGTTGAGAAATGCTCCAGGCTCCAGTGCCGAGATGCTGTTGTTCTGGAGGTACAGGTAATGAAGGCTGCCCAGGTGAGTCAGGTCCTGAAGACGGATCTGCACTATAGCATTGTCCTGGAGAAAGACGGTCTTTAGGAGAGACAGGGGCAAATGAAATTAGCAGTGACCAGAAACCAATTGTGTTAAGGACACAGAGGAGGGAATATGATGTTTTAGTTGGTGCTTGTTTTGTACAAGAAGGCGAGCATGGCCTGTTGCTGTGCAGTGCTCAGTTGGTCATAAAATGTGTTATCCATGAAGAGAAATCACAGAGATTATCTGCACTCACAGGGCTGTGAAGAGGTCTGGATACATGTTCATGTTGGCAATACAAACAACATGACATCAGCTGGTTCAGGATCATGATAATGATGACAGTGTGGTTTGTGCAGTATTTTTCCTGTTTTATGGCTCCAATCTCTTGTTAGAGAATGGAAGAAATGACAGCCCTTATCAGTAAACATCTTGACTGACTGGAGCTAAATGAGTATTGCTCTCTATGTTTTATACTTGTCTGTTTGATAAGTAATGTGCATTTTCTGGCGATGTTTTCAAAAAAAAAAAAAACATGGGCCAGGAAGTAAAGTATGATTGACGAGATAGATGTGCTGATCGAGGTTAATGGAACAATTTAAACAAGACATGCTTTGATCAATATTCATGAGCTGTGGTAATGTTCAGGGGGGGGGCTGAACTGAAGAGGAAAAGACTGCGTAATGTTAAACATCTTCTCAACAGATGATCAGAGGGTGCGAGAGAGTCACTTTCTGAGCAAGAATGAATAATTACACAGTCAACAGAGCAGCCCCGCCCTTGGGCTTACAACAAAGAGGGTCATGGCAAATTGATTAACCACAATCATTTCAGTGTAATAAGAACAGCTCAGAGAGGAAGTCTAAACCAGTGACGCTGGGGATCAGCTGCAATGCACTGGAAGGTAGTGACCTAACTTATTTTCAATCAGCCGACTGACCTCTGTGACAGGGGGCACACCCTGCGGGATTTCTTTAATCCTGAGAGATCCACACTCCACTGTGAGGCTGTAGCATCGACAGCCAGAAGGGCATCCCCGAGACACATGTGGGAGGAAGGCCAGGAAGAACAGAATGAGCCTGGAGAACCACATGAAGATCATTGTGGTTTTCTAGAAGACCTTCAGAAACAAAACCTGAAAAGATAAAATGAAGAAATAGATAAACAGTAACATTAATCATTCACCTCAGTTATAACGACCATCTATTTTTCCTTCACAGTTCTGTTTCAATCCATTACCCAAAGACTGACAGAAGCTGCTGATATGCTGCGTATGCATATGACTGTGAAATGGAAAGGGAGGATTGATGAAAAAGCAAGGCAGCATAAGAGTATCTCCTCATCCCTGCCTGTTTTCCATTCATCTATGTCTATTCAGTGGAATTGCAGCAGCTTCTATTATGGGCTTCAATTAATTAAAGATGTGATAAAAGATTTGCAGGTTTGCCTCAAGGACCTTTCTCTTGTCTTCTTAATGCATGCGGTAACACACTCACTCTCTCACTTTATTTCAGACCCTGTCTTTGTCTTACACAGGCATATACATGTGTAGATGTGCTGCAATGGCTCTATTTTGACCCATGTAATCTCAGAAACAACATTTATCTCAAAACTAATCTCAAGTGGAAGCCAGCTTTAATCATCTGATGCTACACCTTACAGCAACAGCTTCTTTTGATAAAAACTGAGCAGCTCATGCATTCATGCAGGGATTCATTCAGGGATTTATTGCTCTGCTTTGTGGTTCACATAAAAATGGCCTCAGACTTGCTGTCCAGTACCATGTGGAGCAACAGTGTTTACAATTGTCAGCAGATCATCTGAAGATGCAATTTGGGATATAATGCATGTTTATATGTCACAATGAGCCTGTCGCTCTGCTGCATGATAGACATCTCATTTATCCAGTCTTACTGTAAGTCTCAAAGTGCCCCAGCCATGTCTCTGCATCCCATTTAACTTTAAATTTCTAGTTTGCTTAAGACTGCAGAACCACCCAGATAGATAATTGATAGCATTTACATACACTCTGAATGATCTGGACATCAGCTAGTTTATTAATTATTAGAAAGCACAGAGGTCTCGTTACAACTCAGTGATGAAAGGGTCCTGTGCCTGAAATAAATTGTGACTGATAAATATTTGAACTGTTCTGTCAGCCTGATATCAAAGCATGTCTCATTTGTAGGGATATATTTCTGACCAGTAATTGAATGCTTAAGTGCAAGCACACCACGATCACTATTTCACTGGCTGAGAAGTCATTCTTGCTGCAGCCATGCTGCATTATTAAGCAAATGAGCAATAAACTGGATTTTAATATTGCCTGTTTGATTTAAAGCGCATTTACGTGCCAGCTAGATTAATGCAATGTGACCTCCATAGGCGTTTCAGTCATCTTCACTCAGCATAAACAGAGACACTTAATAATGAAAGCATGCCATTTTCTCTCTAGAGGACTCTAAATAAGCGTGGAGAGAAATTATGTATTTCTGTTGTTGGGGAGAGAAAGCACAAAAATTGAATTTTGAATAAGGCCTTGGTCTGTCATTGAGCTTTTGTTACATCTCATGGTGGTTTGACTTTTAAATAGCTTTGACTTGCTTGAAAAGTGTCAGAAGGGAGCCCGAGAGGAAGGCGCTCTCTTGCCCTCTGCTAAGGATACACACAGACCAATATTTGCTGTTAGAATATGATCCCAACATCAATGCAAATGACACCTTACTGGGTTGAGAGAATATGCATTTTTCTGCTTATTTCAGTGACTCTGTATTCAAAAGCCTGACCAGTAATTATGCATATAGCACTCAGAGTTAAGACAAGACTGATGAGATGTAGAGAAAAGCATAACCTAACTCTGAGTTATCAGGGTCTGCAAACCAAAAGGAGACAAATGCCAAAAATAAATCAACAGTCAGGGATAGGTTTCCTTAAATAATGCTGCTGACAGCAAGTTGCCTTACAGTGTACTGTATGCTCTGCTGTTTCACATTCATCTTGTCCTCACTGAGCTTGACTTGCATCTTTTGTCTTGTGTATGTGGAATTTCAGTGGTAAGAGGTCAGTTTGTTCATTTCAGTCTCAGTAATCCTCTATGGAACATGCGTAATCTGCACAATCAGATGCTTGGTAGCTAAGCTGCTCTCGGCGCTGTTGATGTTTTCATATAGGGAGCTGCTTTATTCGGCATTTAAAAAAAAAGAGGTCAGCAATCTGTCTATTGACTGTGGGAAAATGTGTAAAAAGGATGATTAGGACTTAATTTTGTGTACATAGATCAGTGCGTTAAAGGAAAGCGGCTGCAGAGAAGTGCCAGGGCAGATGTCAGTCAACAAATGCCAAAAGAAATCTAATAAAGTGCACATCACACAAAGCTTGTTCAGCATTCAGTATCTGCTTCTCCCCAATAACATGCATCCACACACATCTCTGCAAATATAATTTTGCACTGAACTCAAGAGCAGCTTGGAGTTTGTTTATCTGAGCATTTCAGATATTACAGTTATCTCTGTGCAAACATCCACAGCACAGAAAACTCAGTGCTGCTGTGACTTTCTCTTATTTTTCCAAGGAGGGTAGGTGTTGATGTGTTGCAGGTATAGAGCAGACAGCCAGAGTGCTGCAGGCAGAGGCAAAGTTCACATCCCTGTGCTGCAACCGGTGCAGGGTGGCCTCATCCGTTGTTATGGTAACTCTTGTGGTGAGGGAAGGTCTGCTTACAGGGCCTGAAGGCCAGGCACAGTTCCTGTGAGCTGGTGTTAAGCAAACAACACCACAGAAATAGAAGCTGTCATTTCCCGGGGAAAATTGCTCATAGGAACTTGAGCTATGTGATGACCTGGAGCTAAATTGTAAATTCTATTTTAGTACACCTCCCTCTTTCTCTTTCTCCAGTTTGAACTTTTTTCTCTTGTTTTCCCTCTCTCTCTTTCTTACTCTCCTGTTCACTTCACAGTTTTTCTGAAAGTCTTTATCATTTTCTCTGTCCCTGACTTCATCTCCTTTCCTTCTCATCCCTCGACCTTCTCCTCTGACTGACAGGTGCTAAATCATTTGTCTCAGAGCATCCTTTTGTCCACAAATAGACTAAGGCCAAGGCACTGGAAGAGCACTGTGGCGCTAACCCAAGAGTGACGCCCTGACTTTGAGTGATAGTCTCATCTGTGCACATGCACACCCTCATAAACATGCAGAGCATGCTTCTAAAATAGCACTTATACACAAGCACTAGCCCACAACATTCAGGGACACGCACTCTGACTAACTGACACACACACACAGACAGGAAGACACACGCACATCCTGACCACGCAGACAGGAAGACACACGCACATCCTGAGCACAACTATCATCATTCACAGACGCAGACCAAGTCAGATACACACAGGTAGCAATACACACTCACTTACACCTATTTTTGTGTCAGCAGCACAGGAAGCTCTGCTCAGTTAATAAGTCTGCATTGATTTCTTTATTTTTCCACTACTACTCTGTCCAGCTGGGCTCGGCAGCCACTGAATTGGGGGGGGGGGGGGCGCGCCACTGGGTCGTGATTATTTACGAATGTCTGTGTTGAAGAAAAACAAGCAAATCAGTGTTGACTATTGCCAGGGTATGTGTGTGTCTCTCCGTGTGCATATGTATGTGTGCTTGCTGTCAGGCTACCTCTAGCAGAATCACCCTCTGAGCAGCAGCAACAGCAGCAGTCTGCCTCTCCCCCCAGTGGAGCATTTAGTCTGAGTCCCTCTCTGTGCCTCCTCATACTTAGACAAACTCAATAAATCTTTGCTTTTTAAGAGTTCACATGATAAACTGTTGTGGCAGGTCTGTCCACATTGTACATACTGCTGTTGGTGTTGTAAACTGGTCAGCAGAAAAGCTCAATGATATGACCCAGCAAACACCAGACATTGCAGAGAAGTCCATATCATGTTGCCTCGTCCAAGTCCTTTTTTGTATAATTGTGAGATGTGCAGAAGAGGTTCAAGACCCAACGTCTAGATATGACTCATTTGTCTTTGGACATCTGATACAAGTTCAGTTTTCTGACGTCTGGCACAAACCACCTTTCTAAATCTGTGGACGCAGACATTAGGTTGGATATTTGGACATCTGCTCCAGACTTATTTTGGACATTTGTGATATACAGCCACTATACACAGAGACATGGCAAGGATGTCTTACTAAGGTCTGTGTCAGATGTTGGAAAGTGGCCCACTGTGTAGCCAGAATGAAAGTTTATGTGACACAAACAATGGCATATGTTTTGGACCTGTTTTGGATGTCTACTGACCTCCAGTATAGGTCCCCAAAATACATGCAGATATGGAACCTATGCTGGATGTCGGTGGACATCCAGATTAAGTCCAGCTTAGACCTACAGACATGGTTGGTGTGGTTTTGAAACCCTAACTGAAGGGACTTATGAATTTGTTTAGGCACTGGTCAGTTACTGCTGCCTCATGTTTTGTACCTCACAGCTCAATAAGGCAAGAGGTTGTTCCACCACACTTCTGTAACCCTGGGCAAAGTGTTACACAAGTGTGGTGATGTCCCTTGGATGTCCAAATGTACAGATGATGTCCAAAAATGATGTTGCATAAACTTTTATTTTGAACCTTGTAAAGATGTCTGACAGCCAAACTGAATGTACAGAAGATGTCCAAAAAGAAGTTGCAATGTCTGACTCCAACTTCAAACAGACATCCTTGGGGCGTCTCTGTGTTTGCTGGGGAAGCTTCACAGGCTGTGGTGCTAGTCACAGATATTACTCTTCTGTGCACAGTGACAGCAGTATTACTTGTTTCCAGCCATAAGTAGAATGGTTTCTAAAAATTAACATATATTTTCTGTTCAGTTTCAACAAGTTGTTTCATTGTTGGAATTCATTGCAATTCAGTTTGATTTATGTCTGAGAACTGAGAACTAAAAACGAGATGTCAGTTATATGACTGTATAATCAATATCCATTTTTCACACAAGATTTACTTTAATGTGCTCACGGTCACTGCCTTTTCTCTTTTTTTGTAATCCTGTGCTTTCTTTCCTCTAAATCCACTTCTTTATATGCATGACTAAGAAGAGGCAACACTAGGAAAGCTGGGTAAAAAGTGTATGACCTCAAACAACTAAATG